ACAGATATGATTTTTTTACATTAAGGCCGCGCGAATGGTTATGGACGCGAGGCTGCACGGCTGTACCAGATTGCGTTTCCAGACCGAAATATGGGCTGATTATTGGCCAGTCAGTGAAGAGCCTTGGCAAGTGTCGCGTTGTATCTTTACAATATTAAGGAATCTAGATTTCGAAGTGGAACTAATACCCAAAGAGTATAAGCTTTTAAAAAAAAATCTAATATTGAGTGAAACTAAGATTTAAACGAAATTAAGGTTTTGAAAATCAAAAATCGAAAAAAAGCCCAGATTAAAAAATCTTATATTTAAAAATATATTTTGTAATATTTAAAGTACCGCTTGTTTGTTTGTTTGTTTGTTTGTTTATCGGCATATCAACACCTTATGGGGCATTTAATGCCGAAATTTAATTTTCTTAAAATCGTTAGTAATTTCTTTTACAAAAATGTATTGCTGGTAATTTTTTTTACTATGAAAATGTGTTGCTAGTAATTTTACTATATTTTTTTAAAGACTTTCATAGTGTTTTGAGCCACGTTTGCTAATTAACTATTTGCGCCTTGCTGGGACCCTAGAATGTGCAACCATCCCAGGTCAAGGTGAACCTGGGAACATCAAATTAAGAGGTGGTTCAACGCTCCTCAAAAGCTGCCGATCAATGACCTTGCTGCGGTTTATCGTTAATAAAGGTTATTTTTATGTATAAAACGCACCTGATTTTTAGCGAAGAAAATGACCAAAACTTATGAAAACGAATATATTTGATGTTGTAATTCATGAGCCTTACAATAACGTAATAATCATTCTTAGAGTATAAGACCACTAAATCGCCAATCTGTTGCTTTAAGTGCCCATTATCTCAAGACGTATGCAATCATGGCTCTCCGCAATGTCTTCTTCGTTGATCTTACTTTATAAATTTTGTCTTTTCATCATTTCTCCACAACCTTGTTCTGCTATCCATTTACTCCAGCTTCTTTTCTTCTTCTTCTTCTTCTTCTTCTTCTTCTTCTTCTTCTTCTTCTTCTTCGTCGTCGTCGTCGTCGTCGTCGTCTTCTTCTTCTTCTTCTTCTTCTTCTTCTTCGTCGTCATCTTCTTCTCCTTCTTCTTCTTCTTCGTCGTCGTCGTCTTCTTCTTCTTCGTAGTCGTCGTTCTTTCTTCTTCTTCTTCTTCTTGTATCGTCCCTTCAGGATGTTCGTCCATGGCTCTCCACACTTTCCTTCTAGGTATTTATAAATTTTATCTTTTTGTTATCTCTCCTAAATCTGTTCCGGCATATATTTTCTTCTTCTTCTTCTTCTTCTTCTTCTTCTTCGTCGTCGTCGTCGTCGTCTTCTTCTTCTTCTTCTTCTTCTTCTTCTTCTTCTTCTTCTTCTTCTTCGTCGTCATCTTCTTTCCTTCTTCTTCTTCGTCGTCGTCGTCTTCTTCTTCTTCATCGTCGTCGTCGTCTTCTTCTCCTTCTTCTTCTTCTTGTATGTGCCGTGTCCCTTCAGGATGTTGGCGTCCATGGCTCTCCACACTTTCCTGTCCTTTGTAGGTATTTATAAATTTTATCTTTTTTGTTATCTCTCCTAAATCTGTTCCGGCATATATTTTCTTCTTCTTCTTCTTCTTCTTCTTCTTCTTGTATGTGCCATGACCCTTCAAGATGTTGACGTTCATGGCTCTCCCCAATTTCCTCGACTTTGTAGCTCTTAATAATTTTTCTCGTTTAGTCATACCTCCAAACCATATTTTGTTATCCATTTATTCAAGTTTCTTCTTCTTCTTCTTCTTCTTCTTCTTCTTCTTCTTCTTCTTTGTGCAGTGTGCCTTCAGAATTTTGGCGTTCATGGCTCTCCACACTTTCCTGTCCTTTGTAGGTATTTATAATTTTATCATTTTTGTTATTTCTCCTAAATCTGTTCCGCCATATATTTACTTCTTCTTCTTGTATGTGCCGTGTCCCTTCAAGATGTTGGCGTTCATGGCTATCCACAGTTTCCTGCACTTTGTAGCTCTTAATAAATTTTTCTCGTTTTGTCATCCCTCCAAACCTTGTTTCGTTATCCATTTATTCAAGTTTCGTCACCGATAGGATGTTTAAATCGCTTGGACTAACCGGAATTCGACGAGACCCGGTATTTTGCAGCCTAGTCTAGGGCTAAAAAAAATGTAAGACAATCAGCCAAGAGATGAAGAAAATGAAAAAATTGACCCCTTTCTTGCTTCAGCAGGTTGTGAAACAATAATAAAAAATTTTTTCATGACACACCCCAAACAATTGGAGAATATCAAATTCTTCAATTGTTTGTTCCTGGGTAAGACGATAAACTACATCCAACAGCAAGGCTTCTGATCAGGAGGCTTTAAAGGGCGTGGAACAGCCTCTTAATTGCTGATGTTCCCTGGTCCACCCTGATCCGGGGTGGTAGCACCTGTTAGGGCCTCAGCTACAAGCAAATAGTTAACCCCCCAATCTGGGATGAAAACTCTATGAAAGTGTAAAAATAGGTTTTAATACCAGGAATACGTTTTTGTAAAAAAAATTTACCAGCAATATATTTTTGAATGATTTTTGGAAAAAATATTAATAGCAATAGATTTTTTGGATAAAATATTACCACGAATACATTTTTGAAGAGAAAATATTACCAGCAATACATTTTTGAAGAGAAAATATTACCAGCAATACATTTTTAAAGAAAAAATATTGCCAACATTATATTTTTGAAGAAAAAATATTGCCAGCAATACATTTTGAAAAAAAAATGCAGCAATACATTTAAAAAAAAATATTATTTTTAAAAAAAAATATTACCAGCAATACATTTGAAAAAAAAATATTACCAGCAATACATTTTTAAAAAAAAATATTACCAGCAATACATTTTGAAAAAAAAAAATATTTTGAAAAAAAAATATTACTAGCAATACATTAAAAAAAAAAAATATTACCAGCAATACATTTAAAAAAAAATTTTGCAAAACATTTTAAAGAAAAATATTACCAGCAATACATTTTGAAAAAAAATATTACCTGCAATACATTTTTGAAAAAAAATATTACCAGCAATACATTTTTGAAGAATAAATATATTACCAGCAATACATTTTTGAAGAATAAATATTGCTAGCAATACATTTTTGAAAAGAAATATTACCAGCAATACATTTTTGAAGAAAAAATTATACCAGCAATACATTTTTGAAGAATAAATATTGCTAGCACTTCATTTTTGAAAAAAAAAATATTACCAACAGAACATTTAAAAAAAAAATATTGCTAGAAATACATTTTTGAAAAAAAAAATATTGCCAGCAATACATTTTTGAAAAAAAATATTACCAGGAAAAAAAATTTTATCGGCATTAAATAACCCATTGAGGTCAATATTCCGTAAAACAAAGCAAACTAAACCAAAAAAGGCGGGAAAATATTAGTTTTCTCATAGAGTCGTCACTGACACAAAAAGAATATCATACAAAATGACAATCATAATCTCATAAACGACAACGACGTCTCATCTGTTTCGAAATTTCAGAAATTATAAAAAGTTCACTACCGATCACGTGTCGTAGAACAACGCAATAAAAAACTTTTCGAAATGATTTGCGTAGCCCTGAAAAGGACTGTTTGCGATTAATACAGGTAACTTTTTTCTGTGATCATGGGCATCTAAGATCTGGAAGTGGAATGTCGTTCTCGTATGAAGCATTGAAACTCCGGTTTCTCCGTTCTGAATCCTGGAAAAATGGGATTGAGTTCTTAACTAACATATAAGACGCAGCAGACATTTAGACACGATTTTGATGAAAAAAAATCTGCGTCTATATACACAAAGGATTACGGTATCTCAGTTTTAAAAATGAAACATTATAAAATCTCCCTCTTTCGACAGCCTTGCCAATTATGAGCTGTCTCGCCAGATTTCTTAAACTATTTAGTCTCGTCGCAGTGACCTTTCAAAAACTTCAAAGACCGATTTTAATACGCCGTAAATGGTAACCTTTTCATTCTTCGTTTTAATATGAAGCGAACAAAGTCTGACCAACTTCTACAAAGATCAACATTCAACGTTGTACGGGACTCGTCAGCAAAATAATGATTCCATTTTTCTCAGGCTAATTATACGCACTTTTTAAATGCTCACAGATTCAGGCAATTATGGCGCATGCCCGACATCACTTCCGCTAATAACCGGAAGCTAATAATGTTATTTGATGTTATTAATGAAGTAATTAATTCAGCTTATGTCATCTTTTCTGAAGGAATTCCCAAGGTCGACCGAAATCATTCGCTTAACTCATATCATAAAACCAATCGTGCCTCCAAATGATGACAGGGGTTGACGTTCGAGCATTAATAAAGGCAGACATGCATTTTAATCTGAAACGCTGGAATAAGATGATCTCTATCTATAAAAGGCCGGATGTGTGTGTGTGTGTGTGTGTGTGTGTGTGTGTGTGTGTGTGTGTGTGTGTGTGTGTGTGTAACGAATGCACGGCCGCAATTCTCGACGGATTTGCACATGCTCCAAGTTAGCGGGAAGGCGAACACCGAATGAGTATTTCCCAACTCCCATCGATAGTGGAAATAATCGATTTTCTCATGCTTCTACGACAGTTTTCATGTAGTTTGCGCCCATTTTCTACTGACGGCAGAGAGTTCAACCGATCAGCCAGTCAGCCGGTCGCCCGACTTCAGACTGAACAGTATTTAGTCACCACCCCTCACGAGGGCATCATGTGGCACAAGGCCGGTTTAACGTGAGGCTCGGCCAAAAATATGCCCTTTGAACCCGTATAAACGGGTTCAGGGTCGGTTTACCTCCCCGAAAGAGACTCCGCCCTTCGGCGTAGCCTCGTTCGGGTTCCTCCCCGCCCGAAGGCAGAGAGTTCAACCGATCAGCCGGTCAGCCGGTCGCCCGACTTCGGACTGAACTCCCTGCTTCCTCTTGAGGCGCAGTATTTATTACGTATGGAATATTCCATTATGTTATTATGGGTAAGGTCCCATATCAGATAGATAGATAGATAGATAGATAGATAGATGTGCAGAGTCCTTAAATAATTTTCGTGTCTACCCATTTGTAAAAAAAATTGATTGCGAGTGTGCGTCTCTGTGTTTGTGCGTGCGTTTGTGTGGGCGTATGTCTATATCTACCTATTCATACATATATACTGAACGAAGGTATAAGGCAGACAGTGTAAAGCCTAAGACACAAAAGACCAAAGAAACAATAAATGAAATAAAAGAAGAAACAAAACTACTTTGACATACGCCAGGTACAAATATGTATTCACGCTCTGTGTAAAATTTTGCGACGTCTTTCAGCATTCATACATTTTTCAATAATAATTCTACGCAATATACACACACACACACATAATATATATATATATATATATATATATATATATATATATATATATATATATATGTATGTGTGTGTATTGTATACTTAGGTAGCAATCGCTCTTTTATACATGTTTGTACAAACGGTACAAATGTTCTCTAATTCCAAGTGATTTCGGTTATACTTTTAACCATTATCAAGGATGATTTTTTTTTTATAATGGATGTATGGGTTGTATGTATGTATCTCGAGTTATATGGATGTTTTATTTTACGAACACGGCCAGCACATTTTCGAAAGGAATCTGATAGGTTTCTGTATGTGTTTAAATTAGTTCTAATGGAGTCGTGGTCGGATAGGTATATAGATAGATATATGAGGCGGATTTATGAAGCAGGCATAATATCTATCTCACGCACGGTGAACACTAGACCTGGCTTCTTTAATATTTCCCCCTTTTCTAGCAAGATTAATGCTCGACAAACGTACATATAAGTTTTAGATCAAAAATAAAATTCTTTTCGTTTTTCATTCAAAATACTTAAATTTTAGGAATACGTTTTCACAACATCGCCCACGTGACGACGACGTGATCATATTTAAACGGAACGCTGATCTTATAAAAGATTTCAGTTATCTGTTTGGATTGGTATTGCTTTTATGTCCATCGTCTTTTTCATGTTGAATTGTATATGGTCTATGTTAATTATGTTTTATGAATATGTCCTGAAGATGGTCTATTAGACCGAAACGTCCGACGTTGACATTAAACATTAAAACAGCATAATCGCATATTGTTTTTTTTTGTTTGTTTTTTCAGTATATTTTTTTTCATCATATATATATATATATATATATAAATATAGATAACTAGACTTGTTTCGAAAAAATCCTCGAATTTTTGATTTGCTAATCAAATCAATCTCGAGGGAAAAAATGTGTGTCTCTTTTTGCCTCGTTAGCCAAACTTTCCCTGACGATCTGTTTAGGTGAAACCTAGGTAGGTTTGTCTGGCTCACTAGGTATATATATATATATATATATATATATATATATATATATATATATATATATATATATATATATATATATATATATATGTATGTATGTATGTGTCTTTATCTATCTATCTGTTAGCTTTTTAATTTCAATTAAATTTATATATATATGTATATATATCCAATTAAATATATATATATATATATATATATATATATATATATATAGATATAGATATAGATATATATATATATAGATATAGATATAGATATGAGCTAATATTTTGAGGTACTAACTGTAAAACGTGCCACAAGTATACTTTCCTTTTGTCTTATAATTTCTCAATATATATATATATATATATATATATATATATATATATATATATATGGGTGTGTGTGTGTGTGTGTGGGGGTGTATGTGTATATATAGAAAAATAGGAAAAACCGTTAGGTTAATAATCCGAAGTTCTTCAGTATTTTTGTTTTTAATTTTAAAAAACACAAGTCAGGCCTAAATTATAATTATATTTTTTTAAAAATATGATTCCATCGCTATATATGAGTTCTCATGTTTCAAAAACAGAAGCTAAAAACTTCAGTTTAATTATAGAAATTAAATTGAATTTAATTGTACCCAGTTCTGTTTCATCCAAAATCGAATTTTGGAATAACTAATCTTGAAATTTATGGAGCTTTATAAGCATATACATTCGTAAATTTCAAGATTAGTTATCCTCAAATCCTCTGCACTGTCCTCAGATTGACACCCAAACACTCTAAAATGTTTGTATTGGAGCTTCCGGTGCGAATGCCAAGCAGTACAGCATGCCATTTCCAAAATTTTGGGCGGAAGGAATTGCGTCATGGTTTTCTCACAGACGGTGCCCAACTGACCCTACTCTATAGGGGAGTCGACAAAATCAAATACAAACAACGTGCATGCGCAAAATTAAAAATATAAAATGGTGACAATTTACCCATCTACCCTGTAAATCTATCTATCTATCTATCTATCTATCTATCTATATATATATATATATATATATATATATATATATATTGAACAATAAAAAATATTAAAAAAATAAAATCTTCAGACACACTGGGCTGTAGATTAATATTCTTTCGTTTTTATTATTATTATTTCATTTAGATTCCTCGACGAGTTTCGGCCAAAATGGTTATCATCAGGAGAAGAAATATTTCTGCTTGCTGGTAGCAGTGACATGGGCGCCCCAATCTCCTGATCTCAACCCCATAGAAAACTTATGGAGCATGTTGCTCAACTGCTTTCTCGAGAGCCTGTACTTTATAATGCTCCATATGTTTTCTGTGGAGTTGAGGTCAGGAGATTGGGGCGGCCATGTCATAACACTCACCTGCTTCTCATCAAAGTATTCCTTCATCAATTTTGATTTGTGACAGGTAACATTATCCTGCATAAAAATGAGCTTGGTGGGGTCGATTTGCACCTTTCAGCAGAAGGGAGCAGACAAGACCTAAAATTCTTTGTACTGCTCACTCCTGAGGGTCTTTTCAATAGGTTTTAAGAAACCAGTTCCATGAAAAGAAAAGCATCCCCAGAATATTATACTGAACGGATTCTTGACAGTACTTACTGCTAAATTCAAAGAGCTTTGAAAGCTTCTTCTTCGGATTTTAGATCGCTTATCCTTTGAATTTAGCTCAACTTTCGTTTCATCGGAGAAGAGAACATTTAGTAAAAAGAAATCATGAGTCACTTTTATCGAACAGCACTATATATATATATATATATATATATATATATATATATATATATATATATTTAAATTATATATTTAAATTATATATATATTATTTTTAAGTATTTATAGAAAAGAAACAGGGAGCTACGTATACGGCGGTGGGAAATTGACTGAAGCCGAGGTGCCAGGTCAAGACCAGTAATATTGCTAATTCTTCTTTAGATTTTATCTAGAATTTCTAAATACACTGCAACATAACCGGGCCATATATCCCATGATATTAATTTTCCCTCAAGATATTTCATCAATATTTCGTAAGTAGTAGACAGATATCTCGTTTAATTTATTTAAATATTTGGCTCGCAATTTCTTTGTGTTGACGATACTTTATTTCACTTGGTAAATCACCTAGAAAATGGAAGACATTATTTCTTTTTGATTTTTTCCTCTGTATTCCTTTCAGCGTTTGTTTTGAGAATGTCACATTGTCGTCTGCTTTCGCCATATTTGATTGCTTTATTTTTCCTTTTCCTTTTTTTCTTTTTTTTTTTTTTAAGCGCAGTCATTTCTTTCGGTAAAACAGAATTGAAAATGCTCAAAACGCACATCCGGGGAATTTATCAGATGCTATTTGGAAGATTTTTAAATAAAATGATATGGCTTCATTCCGGTTAGAAAGATAATTGTTTGATGCTCAAAACATTGCAATATAAGATGTCTGAGTTAGGAAAAAATACAAGTATTCTAAAAATCTATTCAATTTAAAAGGTATTACGAGAACAAACGGCTTTATCGAGTCTCACCTTGGCCGATTTGTCAGGAAGGAGACTTCCTGATGTTATCGGTCTGGAGGTGGGGTCGATCCCAGCGTGCGGCACCTTTGAAAACCATACCACGTGTGTGAAATTGGGTAGACGGAACACATGGAAGCCGTCGATAGCTGTGTTAGCACGAAGCCACAAGTCATCGTGGCTGAGGGCTTGAGCATGCTGGCCTTGTTCAAATTTTTGGTCACGCTAGATAACACGTTCTCTCCCAGAAACTGTAACTAAGGTCTGCTCAGCATAGTTGCAGTATAAACCACAGGTGGGCTCTGTGGGTGTTGAATAAACACAAATGTGCCTGAGCGTATATCTGCAATAGGGATTGGCTAGCCGCCCTTGTAGAGATATATATATATATATATATATATATATATATATATATTGATACACACACACACACACACATAAATATATTCAAAATTGAAGGGTATATGAATAATTTCGTCGTTGACTATATATATATATATAGAGATATATACAGTCGTTGATGATGATGATTGATATTATATATATATATATATATATATATATATATGAAGTCGTTGATTATGATGATTGACATAAAGTATATATATATATATATATATATATATATATATATATATATATATATATATATAATAAAAAGGAAAAGAGAAATTGGGTTGTAATGTAGATTTAAAAAAAACTTCACAAAATTCATTCCTTTTTAATAATATCTGGAAATAGCAACTCTTTGCCTGATGAAGGTCGGGAGACCGGAAACACGTGTCGGAAAATTATGGAAAATAAAGTATAATATATTTTTTTTTTAAATCCACATTATAATAAAAAATGTTTGCGGTTTCTCTTCTTTTAATATACACACTTTTCTCTCGTTAGAGCTACTATAACCTCTTCCTTATATATATATATATATATATATATATATATGTATATATATAAGAAGTCGTTGTTAATGATGATGATGATTGACATTATATATATATGTGTGTGTGTGTGTGTGTATGTATACATGTATATGTAGATATTCTCAGATGGAGTGGATCTGTAGAAGAGACAAAATGAATAGAAAAACAAGAGGAAAACTATAATTATTCATATAAGTCTATGTATGCATGTATGTACGCATAATTGTATATATATATATATATATATATATATGTATGTGTGTGTGTGTGTGTGTGTGTGTGTGTGTGTGTGTGTGTGTGTGTGTAGTTAAGTAATGAAAATCTTGGTAATCGGTATGGATAATCCCAAGGAGGATGAAATCCGGAGAGCTCAATGCTAAATCAGAGCGAATAATTTAATTTAAAGAAAACCTGACATATTTTTCATTCATGCATGTTTCGTGAAATAATTTAGACGTATTATGTCTATTTATTTTAGTTTTATGTCCACGAATTAATTTCTTGGTGGATGTAAAATATTGATTAAGAAATATTCCAGAATTTTCTTTCAAATTATTTTTATTTTCCCAAATATTTTCAATCTCATCTGAAATCAGGGGTTGCATATCAATGGATATGTTACGCGTTAACACCGTAAATTCAAAATATTTTTTACTTCTATGCAAGGGAAGTAACTTATGCAATTTTTTGAAAGATTTTTTGAAGAATTTTTTTAAAAAGATTTTTACTTGTAGTATTTATTATATAACACTTTGCTGCTACAAACATTTAAGAAGTTTGTTACTATACTCCTAGTTGACCCTGATTATTAATTGAATTTTTCTTAATCAATTTTCTACACCAACCAAGAAATTAATTCGTGGACTTGAAAGAATTAAAATACAATATCAGGGATGGAGAGTATGTAAATATAAAAGTGGTCACTGAAGTCAACATCCAATTGCGACAGTTTGTTTCATGCTAAATGCAATCGTCATAATAGGGGGGAAAATGAAACAAGAAAGATGACAGGTCACAGAAAGATCAGATAAAGAAAAAGAATTAAAACCAAGAAAACAGGGAAAGAAATATATATAAAAAAGAAAGAAATAAGATATACAAAATATCAGGAAAAGAAAGAAAGAAAGAAAGAAAGAGACAAACAAACAAACAAACAAAGAAGGAGACTATAAATGAATAGCTAAGAATATGAAACAAACAGGTTTGGAGAAGAAAGAAAGAAAGAAAGAAAGAAAGAAAGAAAGAAAGAAAGAAAGAAAGAAAGATGACGGGTAATTGAGAGGTTTGAAGAAAGAAAGAAAGAAAGAAAGAAAGAAAGAAAGACAGACAGAAAGAAAGAAAGAACGGTAACTGAGAGGTTTGAAGAAAGAAAGAAAGAAAGAAAGAAAGAAAGAAAGAAAGAAGACAGGTAACTGAGAGGTTTGAATAAAGAAAGAAAGAAAGAAACAAACAAAGAAGGAGACTATAAATGAATAGAAAAGAAAGAATATGAAATAAACAGGTTTGGAGAAGAAAGAAAGAAAGAAAGAAAGAAAGAAAGAAAGAAAGAAAGAAAGAAAGAGAAACGGGAATTGAGATAAAGAAAGAAAGAAAGAAAGAAAGAAAGAAAGAAAGAAAGAAGACAGGTAACTGAGAGGTTTGAATAAAGAAAGAAAGAAACAAACAAACAAAGAAGGAGACTATAAATGAATAGCTAAGAATATGAAACAAACAGGTTTGGAGAAGAAAGAAAGAAAGAAAGAAAGAAAGAAAGAAAGAAAGAAAGAAAGAAAGATGACGGGTAATTGAGAGGTTTGAAGAAAGAAAGAAAGAAAGAAAGAAAGAAAGAAAGAAAGAAAGAAAGAAAGAAGACAGGTAACTGAGAGGTTTGAATAAAGAAAGAAAGAAACAAACAAACAAAGAAGGAGACTATAAATGAATAGAAAGAATAGAAACAGGTTTGAGAAGAAAAGAAAGGAAAGAAAGAAAGAAAGAAAGAAAGAAAGAAAAAAAAAGAAAGAACGGGAAAGAAAGAAAGAAAGAAAGAAAGAAAGAAAGAAAGAAGACAGGTAACTGAGAGGTTTGAATAAAGAAAGAAAGAAACAAACAAACAAAGAAGGAGACTATAAAATGAAATAGCTAAGAATATGAAAGAAAACAGGTTTGGAGAAGAAAGAAAGAAAGAAAGAAAGAAAGAAAGAAAGAAAAGAAAGAAAGAAAAGAAAGATGACGGGTAATTGAGAGGTTTAAGAAAGAAAGAAAGAAAAGAAAGAAAGAAAGAAAGAAAGAAAGAAAAAAGAAAGACGGAAAGAAAGAAAGATGACGGGTAACTGAGAGGTTGAAAGAAAGAAAGAAAGAAAGAAAGAAAGAAAGAAACAGGTAACTGAGAGGTTTGAATAAAGAAAGAAAGAAACAAACAAACAAAGAAGGAGAAATGAAAAGAAATGAAACAAACAGGTTTGGAGAAGAAAGAAAGAAAGAAAGAAAGAAAGAAAGAAAGACAGAAAGAAAGAAAGATGACGGGTAACTGAGAGGTTTGAAGAAAGAAAGAAAGAAAGAAAGAAAGAAAGAAAGAAAGAAAGAAAGAAAAGATGACGGGTAATTGAGAGTTTTGAAGAAAGAAAGAAAGAAAGAAAGAAAGAAAGAAAGAAAGAAAGAAAGACAGAAAGAAAGAAAGATGACGGGTAACTGAGAGGTTTGAAGAAAGAAAGAAAGAAAGAAAGATGACGGGTAACTGAGAGGTTTGAAGAAAGAAAAAAGAAAGAAAGAAAGAAGACAGGTAACTTAGAGGTTTGAATAAAGAAAGAAAGAAAGAAAGAAAGAAAGAAAGAAAGTAACGGAGGAAGAAAGAAAGATAGAAAGGAAAAAAGGAAGGATACTGTATATGAAAAACTAAGAATACGAAACAAAGCAACAAAGAAAAATAAAATAGAAAGGAAATTGAGAAGGAAGTAAATGAAAAGTCAAGAAAAAACCCCAAAAAGAATGGAATAATGAAAGAAAAAAAAGAATAAGGACAAAAAGAAATATATGACAAAAAAAAAAGAAAATGTGTGCAAAGAAAGAACACGGGAAAAGAAAACTCAAAGAAAGAAAAGAAACAAAGTCGACGGGTAAGAAAAAAGTCTGGATAAGAAAGGAAAAGAAAATCAAATAAATAAATAAAAAAAGACAACGAAAAACCCTGGAAAAAGAACAAAAAAAGAAAGAAACAAAGAAACAAAGAAACAAAGAAAGAAGAAAATGAAAACAAAAGAAAAGAAAAATGAAAGCAAAAGAAAAGAAAAAAAAAAAAAAAGAAAGAAAAAGGAAAAGAAACAAAAAAAAAGAAAATGGAAAGAAAAGAAAAGAAAGAAAAAAGAAAAAAAGAAAGAAAGAAAGGAAAGGAAAAAGAAACTTACCGTCGAAAAAGAAAAGAAAGAAAGAAAAAAAGAAAGAAAAAAGAAAGAAAGAAAGAAAGAAGAAAATGAAAAACAAAAGAAAAGAAAATGGCAAAAAGAAAAGAAAAAGAAAAAAAGAAAGAAAGAAAGAAAGGAAAAGAAAAGAAAAAAAAAAATGGAAAGAAAAGAAAAGAAAGAAATAAAGATGGATAAGGCTATCAGGCACTTACCGTCTGCTTCCAATAAAAGAAAGAAAGAAAGAAAGAAAAAAGAAAAAAATGAAAAACAAAAGAAAAAGAAAATGAAAGCAAAAGAAAAGAAAAAGAAAAAAAGAAAGAAAGAAAGATGGAAGGAAAAGAAACTTACGAAAAAAGAAAGATGGAAAGAAAAGAAAAGAAAGAAATAAAGATGGAAAGAAAGAAAGAAAGAAAGAAAGAAAGAAAGAAAGAAAGAAGCGATAAGGCTATCAGGCACTTACCGTCTGCTTCAATAGAAAGAAAGAAAGAAAGAAAGAAGAAAATGAAAACAAAAGAAAAGAAAAATGAAAGCAAAAGAAAAGAAAAAGAAAAAAAGAAAGAAAGAAAGATGGAAGGAAAAGAAAACGAAAAAAGAAAGATGGAAAGAAAAGAAAGAAAGAAAGAAAGAAAGGATAACGCTATCAGGCACTTACCGTCTGCTTCAATAGAAAGAAAGAAAGAAAGAAAGAAAGAAAGAAAGAAAGAAAGAAGGATAACGCTATCAGGCACTTACCGTCTGCTTCAATAGAAAGAAAGAAAGCAAGAAAGAAAGAAAGAAAGAAAGAAGCGATAAATTATCAGGCACTTACCGTCTGCTTCAACAGAAAGAAAGAAAGAAAGAAAGCAAGAAAGAAAGAAAGAAAGAAAGAAGGATAACGCTATCAGGCACTTACCGTCTGCTTCAATAGAAAGAAAGAAAGAAAGAAAGAAAGAAAGAAAAAAGAAAGAAAGAAGCGATAACGCTATCAGGCACTTACTGTCTGCTTAATAGAAAGAAAGAAAGAAAGAAAGAAAGAAAGAAAGAAAGAAAGAAGCGATAACGCTATCAGGCACTTACAGTCTGCTTCAATAGAAAGAAAGAAAGAAAGAAAGAAAGAAAGAAAGAAAGAAAGAAAGAAAGAAAGAAGCGATAACGCTATAAGGCACTTACCGTCTGCTTTAATAGAAAGAAAGAAAGCAAGAAAGAAAGAAAGAAAGAAAGAAAGAAGGATAACGCTATCAGGCACTTACCGTCTGCTTCAATAGAAAGAAAGAAAGAAAGAAAGAAAAGCAAGAAAGAAAGAAAGAAAGAAAGAAGGATAACGCTATCAGGCACTTACCTGTCTGCTTCAATAGAAAGAAAGAAAGAAAGAAAGAAAGAAAGAAGGATAAGGATATCAGGCACTTACCGTCTGCTTCTAATAGAAAGAAAGAAAGAAAGAAAAAGAAAGAAAGAAAGAAACGATAACGCTAAGGCACTTACCGTCTGCTTTAATAGAAAGAAAGAAAGAAAGAAAGAAAGAAAGAAAGAAAGAAAGAAAGAAGCGATAACGCTATCAGGCACTTACCGTCTGCTTCAATAGAAAGAAAGAAAGAAAGAAAGAAAGAAAGAAAGAAAGAAATAAAGAAAGAAAGAAAGAAGGATAACGCTATCAGGCACTTACCGTCTGCTTCAATAGAAAGAAAGAAAGAAAGAAAGGAAGAAAGAAAGAAGATAACGCTTATCAGGCAAAGAAAGAAAGAAAGAAAGAAAGAAAGAAAGAAAGATAGAAAGAAGCGATAACGCTATCAGGCACTTACCGTCTGCTTCAATAGAAAGAAAGAAAGAAAGAAAGAAAAAAGAAAAAGATAACCTATCAACTTAGCTTCAAAGAAAGAAAGAAAGAAAGAAAGAAAGAAAAAAGAAAGAAAGAAAGAAAGAAGGATAACGCTATCAGGCACTTACCGTCTGCTTCAATAGAAAGAAAGAAAGAAAGAAAGAAAGAAAGAAAGAAAGAAAGAATGAAAGAAGCGATTACGCTATCAGGCACTTACCGTCTGCTTCAATAGAAAGAAAGAAAGAAAGAAAGAAAGAAAGAAAGAAAGAAAGAAAGAAAGAAAGAAGCGATAACGCTATCAGGCACTTACCGTCTGCTTCAATAGAAAGAAAGAAAGAAAGAAAGAAAGAAAGAAAGAAGCGATAACGCTATCAGGCACTTACCGTCTGCTTCAATAGAAAGAAAGAAAGAAAGAAAGAAAGAAAGAAAGAAAGAAGCGATAACGCTATCAGGCACTTACCGAATGCTTCAAAGAAAGAAAGGATAACGCTATCAGGCACTTACCGTCTGCTTCAATAGAAAGAAAGAAAGAAAGAAAGAAAGAAAGAAAGAAAGAAAGAAAGAAAGAAGCGATAACGCTATCAGGCACTTACCGTCTGCTTCAATAGAAAGAAAGAAAGAAAGAAAGAAAGAAAGAAAGAAAGAAAGAAGCGATAACGCTATCAGGCACTTACCGTCTGCTTCCAATAGAAAGAAAGAAAGAAAGAAAGAAAGAAAGAAAGAAGAAAAGAAAGAAAGAATGAAAGAAAACGCTATCAGGCACTTAGAAAGAAAGAAAGAAAGAAAGAAAGAAAGAAAGAAAGAAAGAAAAGAAAGAAAGAAAGAAGGATAACGCTATCAGGCACTTACCGTCTGCTTCCAATAGAAAGAAAGAAAGAAAGAAAGAAAGAAAGAAAGAAAGAAAGAAAGAAAGAAAGAAGGATAACGCTATCAGGCACTTACCGTCTGCTTCAATAGAAAGAAAAAAGAAAGAAAGAAAAAAAGAAAGAAATAAAGAAAGAAAGAAGCGATAACGCTATCAGGCACTTACCGTCTGCTTCAATAGAAAGAAAGAAAGAAAGAAAAGAAAGAAAGAAAGAAAAAGAAAGAAAGAAAAGAAAGAAAGAAAGAAAGAAAGAAAGAAGGATAACCCAGCAAACGTCAATAAAAGAAAGAAAGAAAGAAAGAAAGAAAGAAAGAAAGAAAGAACTTACGCAAGGAACCCAGCAAACCAATAAACAAAGAATAAATATAAAATGAAAGTCAAACTGCAGAAAAAGAAAAATCAAGTAACGAAAGAAAAAGTAGAAAAGAAAAAAGAAAAGAAAGATGGCCACAAACAAAAAAGATAGGAAGAGGCATGGCCGATAACGAAAACGTTTTAAATGAATGAACACAGAAAACGTCAATGAAAGAAAGAAAGAAGAAAACAGAAATGAAAATACAGTAAATTGAAAACTTAAGAAAAGAAAGAAAGAAAATAGGAAACGAAAATCTCTAAAAAAAAAAAACCAAACAAACAACTAAATAAAAACAACAAAAAAAAGGGGGAAAAAAAAACTTCCGCCAAAAAGAAATCGAAAAATCGTATGGGAGAAAAAGAGTTGCCGATTACGGAGTTTGGAAAGGCGAGAACGGAATATGTGCCAAAGTAAAAACAGTTGAAGGCTCGTTAAGCTGAACAACATGGCCGAGCGCTTCGCACCTTCCAGCCGGACACGCTTCCCATTTCATTAAGATTTTATGTTTTCTCCTGCCGAGCCTTCAGTGCACTTCACCCGGAGATGGTTGCTTGCAGTTTTTCACATTAAATCACACCTATAAACTGACAGCCACCAGCCTGGCCCCCCATCGCTCTCCGGGCCGGGGACACTCAATAAGAAAGAGGCAATCGGATGGCAAAAATTTGGCGACTGTTTATAAGATCACAACTGACAAATGGCGCCCTGATCATAAAAACTGATTTCTTTCTTTTTGTGGCTTTCGTCGACGTTCAGCAAATGTTTGGGAGGAGAAGAAAAACTGAAAACTGAGAAGCACACACACACACACACACACACATATTATATATATATATATATATATATATATATATATATATATTTGTGTGGGGTTTACTGAAGAGACAGTGTATTTATGACAGAAAGGAAGTCTGGGTACACACGCAACATAGACAAATCTGTCTTGCGTACTGTACGGAATGTAAGTACGTCACTGAACCAGAAAGAAAACTGTACGAATAATTTTTTTTTTTAATCATTTCACCCCAAGTAAGGTAGATATGCCTCTAGTACGCAAGGTACTGAAAGTGAAAGTGAAAGTGAAAGTGAAAGAAAAGACTGAATATAGGGAGAATTGAGGAAAGAAAAAAAAATATGAACGGGATTCAAGATGAGAGAATATGGCGATTGACTCTTCCATTTTGATTGCGTAGAAAGCCAAAAGACATCCGCTACTTGGTTTCAGTGAGAAAATGAATGAAAAAAAGAAAGGAAGATAAGTGTTTTAACATTTGTTCCAGTGAAAAGCACAAATTTCAAATCTTTCATTTGTATCCCCGTACTTCTTAAAATAACGACCAACATTCATATTTATTATTATTATTACAATATTTTGTTAAAATTGTTAAGCTCAAATATTTAACGATTTGACGGAATTTCTACGGATATTTTATTGCCATGAGCTTATTCAATCATTAAATGAAGAATTAAGATTCATTAGAATATTAAAATAGGAAAAATGTGAAATTTTCGCGGGTCTTTCTAGATATTAATAATAAAAATGAATTCAGGAAATGTACTTTTTCACATGTTTAAATAATTTGGTACAGTTTTAAGAAAATCTAATAAAACAGATTACTTTGACTTGTTTAGATAATTGTATTTTTTTATGACTCCATTCAACTAATTAAGTAACGTAAAATAGGGAGAATTGTGGAAAGGAAAAAAATATGATTGAGATTCAAGAAGACAAAATATGGCGATTGACTATCTCATTTTGATTGCGTAGAAAACCAAAATACACCCGCTACTTGGTTTCAGTGAGAAAATGAATGAAAGAAAGAAGGGAAAATAAGTGTTTTAACTGTTATTTCAGTAAAATGCAAACATTTCAAATCTTTCATTTGTATCCCCTTACTTCTTAAAATAACAATCAACATTCATATTTATGATTATTATTGCAATATTTTCTTAAAGTTGTTAAGCTCAAATATTTAATGATTTGTGGAATTTCTATAGATTTTTCTGGTCATAGAATTCGCCATAAGCTTATTCAGTCATTAAATGAAGAAGTAAGATTCATCAGAAAATTCAAATAGAAAAACTGAAATTTTCCCGTGTCTTTCTAGATATTAACCAAATTAATAATAAAATTGAATTCAGGAAATTTATTTTTTCACATGTTTAAATAATTCGGCACAGTTTAAATTAAACAGATTACTTTGACTTATTTAGATAACAGTCATTCAAAATTAATAAAAAATGACAATAACAATGAATGAATGATAGGTTTTCTAACTTTTTAATCATTCTCCAATCAAGGCGGGAATGTCACTAGTACGCAGGGTGTTACAGGGACTAAAAAATGAGAAAAAAAGCCTGAGTATAGGGAGGATTGAGGAAAGGACAAAAGATGAATGGAACTCAAGGAGACAGAAGATGGCGATTGACGTTGCATTTAAATTTTTGAAGATTGTAGTTATCAGGGTAGCAAGTAAACGGAAAGGAGTTCCACAGGCGGGAAGTGCAAGGAAAGAAACTGTTGGCGATGAGGGCAGTTGCATTTAGCTATTTCAACAGTAATCGTGGGAGACCTACATGCCAATGTAGTATCACGGTTAAATTCGTGTGGTCGGGGTACCAGGGCAAAAAAGTTCATCAGAGCAGTTGACATGAAAATATTTGTTGAAAAAAAAAATAGGAAGCCCCGACACGCCGGTGAGAAAGTGACTGAAGCCGAGATGCCAGGTCAGGATCAATTACATTACAGATCCTTCTTTGGATTTTGCCAAGAATAGGAATCCTCTGTTTTGTATCGTCTGACACAAGGTTAATTGATACGGATCAAATGCACTGGACGACGATCACCGCCCGGTGAGATCTGTTTTAAAGCCTGTTCAATAGTGGTTAATTTTTATTTAATTTTAGTTTTACATCGAAAAAAAAGAAAAGAAAAATATCAACATGAAAATATTACTTTCGGTTCAGACAAGCACAACGAAAGGCAGTTCGATTTTGAAACCTTGGCATTGCACTCAATTGGGGTTTCATGATAAATAATGACACAAAAAAATATCTTCCGAATCCTTACCATTTTTTTTAGGAAACAGGTTTTAACTCTTTGAGCCCAGCGTTTCTGAACAATTTTAACCCTTCTGCCTGAGCTTCTGAGTGAAAATTCACAAATAATTGGTATGTAATGTTTCACGGTAGATATAAAAATAGTTACAAGTGTTGTAACCACCGATCAACCGGCAGCTGGACATTAAGTCATTATTCTCTACCACTGCTCAACTGGTGGCTGGGTATTACGTCATTTTTCTCTGTCAAAGGTAAAGCGGTTGTCAGGGCTCAAAGATTAAGCCTAAGGTCAAAATCATATCGTTGGAATTTAATCCCGGTGATCAGTGAAGGCCTTATAGCACAGCCTTATAAAATTTACTAAAGCTTCACAAATTGTATATGGACAAGATGCATGACACAAGCACATTATTACTAAATCATTGTGCCATCAAATAAGATCTTCATTTACTTCAAAGGGAAATTATACTAAACAATTTAGCTATATTATGATGTAATATATTATTTAGTGCAGTAGTTTTAGTGTGATTTTCAATGAAAAAAATATCTTATAAAATGTATCCAGCAGTATTATGGTGTTATATACTTTATCTATTTTTGTTTTTATTATTTATGATGTAATAGAATAACCCGGCACCCTCATGAATGATTACACTATATTGCCTCGTCCACTGCGAGGAAAGTTGGCTCCCTGAGCCGCGCCAGGAAGTTTTTCTCCCCGGAGTCGATCCTTCAGATCTACAAATCAACAATTCGCCCTTGCATGGAGTATTGCTGCCATATATGGTCTGGAGCCCTTTCTGTTTGCCTCGGGGTTCTTGATAGGCTCCAGAGGCGGATATGCAATGTAGTTGGCCCTGCACTGGCGTCTCGTCTACAGTCACTTTCTCACAGACGCGCCGTTGCCTCTCTCTGTCTGTTCTACAAATACTTTCATGGAAATTGTTCCGAGGAGCTGCATTCGCTGGTTCCCAGACGTCATGAGTTCCAGCGCCCTACGAGGCTGGCATCCTGCTCTCACCCCTTCACTGTCGAAACTCCTAAATGTAGACGTCTCTTCCACTCCTAATAGCTTTATGTCTCGCACCTCTCGCCTGTGGAACTCCCCTTCCCTATTCCAGTTTCCCCTGTGAACTATAATCTCCAGCTATTCAAGTGTAATGTCCTTTATTCTATCACTCCTATCTGATCTTGCTCTAAACTTTCTGTAACCCCTTGCGTCCTAGTGGCCTCCCGCCTTGCTTGGGTGAAATGCTTAAAAAAAAAAGGGTAAGTATCTATAAAGTCAACTGTCTACGAGAGACTGAGGTGAGTGAGTGAGCACGTCTGACCTTCCAATTAGTGGCACTCACAACTCGATTGACCTGTGTGTATAACTGTACCGTATTTCATATTGTACTTGTTGCATACAATAAACCTTTTTTCTAGTATCTACCTGGTGTTATGTGTTTATTCCCTTAGCACGGAATATAACAGTACTGGGATGAGGATATTTGGAACATAACAGTGGCGACGGGGATGCTTGAAACATAACAATTTATGATCTAACAATTTTATTTATTGAGTAGCCTTTTGCAATCTTTTACAATTTCTTTTACGCAGTTTTTACTTATGGAATGCAGTAAAAAATACATATTTTACTTGTGGTGATTCATAATTAGAATTTGGTTTGAATATATTTTCCATTCAATGTATCTAATACAAAAGATATCAATTTTATTTGGATTTATTCTTGAAATAATCACATTTTGAACTCACTTTGTTAGCAAAAGCCCGAGGAAATTAGCTATTTCTGTACATTTTCAATGTTCCTTCAAACTTAAATTTAGAAGGCGACTGGTGGCTCCTATAATATTAACACCTCGTCTAAAAATTCCAACATAAATTAGAAAGATTCTTTTAGGCAAATTTTCGATATAAGATTGTTTGTCTGTCTTGATAATCAGCATTTAAAATCCAGGCTTTTAATCAGGACTGAACCCCAACCCGTTGGAAATATGTTATGTTCTTGGTATTTATTAAGCTTCGATTTGCGAGTGGGCTGACAGAAAATGAAAATCGGAGATACGGGTTCAATCTCCGATTGAGACAGTCTGTATTCACTTCGCAATAATTCCTTTATGAAATACCTTGTACCATAATTACATGGCGGGGAAGTATCGAAAATATTAATCCCATGCCCCATTTCCCCAAAGCAGAACCCCAACATCGGGGGTTTTATTGCCCGGGGTCCCCAAAAGAAGAGCCGAGGTGGGGCATGGGGAAATGTTTCACGGTATTGTCGTTAAGCCCACTTTAAACTTTGACCTTGTGTCACATTCGGTAGCGACGTGGACGCACTGGAAAATAAATATTTTCTTCCACCACCCCAGCTATGGGTTAAACAACAGGACAGACTGGGTTTTCAAGCCCATTTGAGGACAAGCTAACAATTGGGACTTCAAAATCGGGAGGAAAGCAACGGTAAACACGCTATTGTCTTGTCCCAAAACAATGATAATAATATCCATTTTGAAGATTTTAAAACAAGGGAAGTCGTGGGAAGTCATGAATGTCTACGCTCTAATACTTTAAAAAGGACAGCTTATTACGGCACACGGCCAAATTCGGAG